TAATCTAGATGATTTTTGTCATCCTTTTCGACCCTTATTGTTTCCATCCCGATGAGGGGTCGTTGATCTTCGTTCGTCTTCGGGTACTCGCTGTTGTTTTTTTTTCTCTTCTTGTTTTATTTTGTTAATAGAGTAAAAGGGGATCGCGGTCGGCGAACGGACGGGCGACTATAAAGAAGTTTCGCGTTTAGGATTCCAAACCGAAAAAAAAGGGAATAAAAAACGAAATAGACTACCTAAACATTTTGGCAATGCCTTCGAGGGAGGAACTAATAGCCATACGTATTGGTATGGTCGAAAATAACCACTATACAGGGTGTTTCGAATATTTAAACTGTCGATAAGGGTGACCAAAGGTGCCACAAATATCGCGAATCATCTTAAAATTGACCAATTATTTTTTTAATCTTGCTGGATGTATCTTTAATGTATTCATTATTTCTGTTAATGTTTGCTCCTTTGCGTATAACTATTTCTATATTTTAAGTGGGTATAAAGTTGTGAAATTATCACTAAATGAAATAATATTATTACTCGTTATTAGTTCGATCGTCCACCTCTAAATTAATCCGAAAAGGAAACTGCTTACGCAGCTCGTAGATTATAACAAACGGGCGCGAGTTTGTGGGTCTTCGGACTCTTCGCGTTCGTTGGGCGACGATAAAAATCCGTCGTTGCCACGTCTATTTGCATAACTAATAATAAAATGTTGGTTTCTTATCGTTATCGCGCCTGCACCAGGTCATTGTTACCACCGTACCGGGATGGAGGAGATAAAATAGCATGCGGTGCATTCAAATCGCTTTTTCATTGCGAAATTAATCAAACGCTACTTTTTATTTACAGTTTATTACTAAATTAAAAAGGTAAAATAAGTGCTTCATATAACTTATACACTGTCCTTCATTCGCGATTGCAACGGTGCATTTATATGAGTTGAACAAAGAGAGATTATTAAAATGACAGTTGCCAGAGTGAATAGTTGCAATGATACAAATGTCACTCTTTCTTTTTCCTTTATAAATGTCTAATTGAAGTTGTTTTTGTTGCACCTTTAGCCTATGTTGCAACGAAAAATGGAGCAATCTGTATGTAAATTCAATAAATGTTTGTTAGAATTTAGTGTGTAAACTGTAATGATTATAACGGAATAATTTCTGACACACAATTGATTCTGTATTAGGTAAACGGATTTGTTGTTATTTTTCGTTGTTAATGCATTTCTTAATTAGTCATGTCTCCTCTCCGCTTATCATTTAATTATTGGCGGGTATGCAGATAGACGTGTTTTGAATAACAACTGTGCATAATGGCGATTATTTATAGAAATTAAGGATAGTAACCCCGTTTCGAAATCGCGCTCGTTTATAATTAAAGAGGTATGTATCTCTTTTATGTACTTGAGTATTTCGTTTTGTCTTTAAATAACGTCAAATGGCGAAACCGCGATGCTGATATAGGAGTCGTTTCGATGTGCATTAAATGCAGGAATATATAAATTTATAGTACAGGAATATGAAGTAAAAGTAGCAGGACTTGTATCTACAGTTTGTTACCCTAACATTTTTGTTTGAATCAAAGGGGTTTTCTATTTTTTTTATATTTTTTTTTATTCACAGTGTTTTAACTTGTTGTAAACATCGATCCTTTGAGATTGTAGAACAAAGCGCTGGAGCCGCTGTCGTAAAATAAGGACTGCATTCTTTAGAGTTTTCTATGGGATGTGGAGATTTTTTGCAATTCTATTTTGTGCATTTTTCACTTACTATTCTGCAATTATTCGAGTTATTTTATCCTTTTTGCACTATTAAAGGTAAAAAGATATTTTAAACAATTTATTATTAATTAATCACCTTCTTTTTTCTACCTCTATCGCCAACTAAATATTAAACAAAAATTTCATAAGTACTTAACCGTTTCATAGAATCGAATAATGATTACCAGTAAAACAAAACGTACCTTGAAATCTTGCATCAATATTTTATTAAATTTCATGTTGTTTGTTTAAATATTTACGTTATATCAGCTAACGGCAATAAACTCATTCAATGTTATTAATATTGTTGACAATGCAACATTGTGCATGTGACAAAAGTCATCGGACGCAAACATTTAATGATTAAATAAAATTGAGGTTACTTATTTTATATGCAGATGCATTTTAATTGCATTCTAAGTTTCGATGAATTTAAGGTATAAATCCTATATTGATTGAATGAATGAGGTAGAATTTGCACGAGGAAATAAATATTTTTGAGCAAATTGAAATGCACTTTGTATGCAAGTTTATGTGCACATACATTCAAGTTTTTGCTGATTTAAATTTGGGCAGGATCAAAATTCATCAAATCAAGTCTTCATTTACAATACAACAACCACAAATTTGCAATTGATCGAGTGAAAAAATCATTAATCACCATCTATACATTTCTGAACCAAAATACGTTTGAGAAATTAGTCCAATCTACTCCATCATACAAGTACTGCAACCCACTAGAATAAAAAAACCCGAGCAAGAAGCGTTACATCAAGACTGGTTATGAATAATTCGTTGTCTGGATGCAAATGATAAACGATTGAGCGTCTGGAGTAAATGACTCACACGTGATAGTTGTGTTTAATTAAATCGTGTCACCCGTTCGCGGTTGAGTTGAATCTAGAAAAGTGCGCAATCGAGCGAATTATGTGCATTATTTTTGTTTAATGATAAAACTCGAGTGGGCTATTTTGAAACGTCCGTAAGTTGGTTATAGTCTCTAAAATGCTGTAATTCTAATTTTAAGAGTATTTAACCCTGTCGTACCGAATTATTTTCTATTTTTAAGATAGGAATTTCTGTATTACCTATAAGGGAATTCGTAGGGTTTATAAGAAGTCGTGTAATTTAGTATGATTTTCTTTATTTACAAACCACCAAGAGTTTACTATAATAGTTACTACAATAGTATTGAAGAATTTAAATTTTAACGGTTAAAAAATAGTTTTTTGTGTCAAAAAGATTGTGTGATCAAGCAACCTATGATGTTTCAAACCAGCATGCATGTATACACGCGTTGATCAAGATACCTATGATGTGTCAAATCGTTTATCCGTGATGATCAAGATACCTATGATGTGTCAATTCGTTTATCCGTGGTGATCAAGGTACCTATGACCTGTCAAATTGTTTATTCGTGATGATCAAGATACCTATGATCTGTCAACTTGTTTATCCGTGGTGATCAAGCTACCTATGATGTTTTAAATCATTTGGCCGTTTAGTGATCACGACATCTCTGGTTGAAACATTTGTGACCAGAAAAATCATGAAAATATCGCTCATAATTGGGAAATTAATAACATTTTATAATCCTCTTTTTGACATCATTTTTAACAAATTCCACGAACCGCCACTGGCGCACACACATACACACATAAACGCACGCACACAAAACAAAACATACACAACTACGAAAATAAAATAAAAAAAGAAGAAGACGAAAATGAAAAAAAAAAGAAAGAATGAAAAAAAATATGCACACACGCGAGAACTCATGCAGAGTCGTATATCTCCGATGCGCTCGTAGTAGACCTCGTCGTAACCTTGACGACCGGGCTAAATAAAGTATGCTGTGGAGGGTGTCGCTTAGCAACAACAACCAGTGGAGCATGTGGGCGTGGTCTGAGCGGCACCCACCCCTCTCCACGTTGCAGCAAGGACGCCACGGAACAACCGGCGACGAAGAGAAAGTCCGCTGGTCTGTGTGCCTGTGCTCGGTATTTGGTTCCGATTTCGGCCGCTTGGAGTGCCACCGGAAAGATGTGTGAGTGTGTGTGAGTGTGTAAGTTGGAAGTGCAAGTGCACGAGAGGCGCGCCAGATGCGTTTTGGTTGCGCCGTACGCGCATTTCGTGACGATGGTCCTGTTGGAGCGGCGTTGCCGGTACGAGCAGTTTCTCTTGGGTTATGCAAAAATGCTAATATTTTTTGACTACTATCCCAGTTGATTAGTTTATGCCCTCTAGGCTAGGTGGTGTAACACTGCACACTTTGCTGTCGATGTTGGTTAAATAGGTACTCGATGGTACTCAACATTCGATGTCTAATTATTTTCTGTTCCATTCGTTTTCTCTTTGATTATACCAGTTTGTTGTTTGTTGTCTCTTCAACTCAGGGATTGAGGTACTATCTTTTTGGTACTATCGTTCCTGGTGAAAACCGCAAAATCTTTATCTTGAAATTGTCAAAAATGCCCATAAAATCTGTTAGATTTCATCGTCTCGGATTTGCATCATGACAAATTGGACGATAGAACAATAATGGAATTAAAGTTACTTTTTTACAATCATCTACTATCATCTACTAAAATACACATAGATATTCATTATCCAATGTGCTTGGTTCCTTAAAGAGAAAATCTATAAGATTCTTCATTAGTAAAGTCCAAAATATCACTGGTGTTTTTAGAATGGTACAAAATCTTGTAAGTTACCTGCACCATCAATTTTAATAGTAATTCAAAATATCTGTATATAGGAATGTAACCTTGTGCCACCTGAATTTCTAGAGTTGTATCGCAAAAAATCAATTAATTGGTTACATATAACCTTTCATTATTTTAGAAACCCAACAGTTTTATTGGTTGCACAAAAATTTTTACATAAACAAAGCTTGTTTGGATCAATAAACTATTTGTATTAAAAAGAAACCACCCTCATGGTCCAATTTGTTTGATCAAGTTGTAGCGGAATCCTACTTTTTTCCAATATTCTGAAAATATTCAAAAATTTGCAATACCCGCTATAATTCCATTTTCTTCATCCATCTTTCTTAATCCATACCAACCATATTCCATTCTTGATTTCTTTAAATTTTAAAATTTCCCCCAATAAAAGTATATCAATTTGTGTCTGTCCCTTAACCGGCGGGTTCTTATAGACTTTCGGTGTTAAAAATCCGGCAACTGTGGAATTGCACTCCTCGTTGAAATACAAGTTGCACTGCATTCGTAATTCCGCGATTCCAGTTCAACGTATAGACGTTTTTCGCACCGCAATACCTGCGTTTTATCTTTCCGCGTTGATTTTTTATAACGAGAATTCGCCATTGGGTCGCTTTCGAGTGCGATAATTCCGCGCTTTGTTCGTTAATAGTCCTTCTGGTCCTTCGATTCGATTCGGAATTGTGTTATTCCGGCGCGGACCTCGTGCATCGAGGATTTTAGGATGGCGTAGTTGTGTTTTCATTGTGTTTGTTTGTGTTGCCTGATAGGGAATTTTCGTGTTTGGTGGAAAATTCGCTGTGGGTAGAATTTCGAGAGCCCCGGTAGGTTTTTGTTTGACTTGAATTGTGTGTTAAATTCCATCGGAACGAAATGAATTGCATAATTTATCCTGTTATTATACAATTTTTATTTAATCGGTTATTAGAAGGTACTTAATTTGCAATTATGTTTTAAGCTGCCTCTTTGTTATTGTTAAATTTAACCTACGTTTAAATGAAAAATTGAAGCTCGTTTACTAAAAAGCGATTAAATATTTTAATTCTTAAAATATACTGTGAAAAAATCTATTTATCGTTAAAAAAGCCCTAAAATTTATGAAATTTGAATCAGCTCTAATTTTCTCTTATTTATCATTAAATCTACCCTAAATTTATTCTAAAATTTTACTTACAAATTATGATTAGGTGACTCATTTAATATTAAACAACAACATAGGATATTTTTAATTATTACCTAATTTATTCTAAAACATTACTCAACAATAGCAAAACAAATTTTAGCTTATTCCATTAAAAGTATTTATAAACTACCATAATTTCCCGAATAAAATATTGAAATACGATACGTATATTTTATTATGTAATAATAAACCGATTTGTAAAGAGACGAGAGAATATTTGAAATTTTCATTGTACAAAACCGTTTTTTTTATAAAATCCTACCTCCACTTTATTTCTACTACCAATCAAACGTAATGATACGTCTGTCTAGGCAAATGGCCAATTCCCCATATAATTAACGTTACAGATATCTGCACCCGAAGCACGTAAAACTACTATAGGATAGGAAACAATGCAGACAACGAAAACTCGCTAATAGTAATACCTCTTTAAAAAGGAAGAGACCGATTAAAAAGAATAAAATTATAGTTTCACTACTTTGCAATTCGATTTTCAAAGTAATATTCAAATTTTGCTACAACGGTTATAACATCGACTACAAAAAAAAGCAAAACGCAATGAGTGGTTATAGCTTAAAATTTACTTTGATTCTAATTTAATGGTTAACTTTAAATTAACTATGATTTTCTTTCCAGGCACGTTTGGATTTATTGTCACTGTGTAGTTGAAATTTAGAAGAATTTGTCTTCGCTAGAATGTTACTTATTATTTCGTAAGTATTTTTTAATTATATACCAAATACCGTTAAAAAACCAATGTACAGAGCAATGGGAATAGCTGTAGACGCGATTCGCGTTTATTTACTATTATTTTAAGTATTCAGCTATTTCTATTGCACTGTAAGTAATCCGAAATAATCGAACGCCTGATCATGTGCCACGTACAACCATTTTTCAAGAAGAATCCGTTATGCATCACAAAGAAAATTTTAATTTTACTCATTACCTATCAACAAGAAATTTAACAGAACAAGCTATAGTACAAGCACCCGCTAGCAGGAACCGAATCGTTCGCAAACGGTTTATTCCGTTCTCTCTTTATGAATTTCATTATGTGATTTTTTTTCATCGTCGAGCGACTCGCGCGAAGGAGATTAACGAATTCGAATTCGAGTTAAATACCGTTAGCTTTCGCGATTTGTCGATAACTATTTTACATCGCAAATTGCCGTGCATGTTTTATTGTCTTGCTCCGAGATGAGCGGAGTTCGACGTTTCGCTCGGTCATTTTCTCATCGTCGGATCCGACGTAGGGGGTTTTACTCGAATTTTTTTTTTCTTTCAAATTATGTACCTACAGACTCACGGGAATAGCTGGGGACGCTAAAATGCGATGCGCAATGGTGCGGTTTATTACCTCTATTTATTACTCAAAATTTGTGAGTAATCTAAGTGAATAGATATTAGATTTTTGAATATTTGTGTCTGCTTAAAAGTGCAACAAAGATAGCTTCTATTAGTCTCATATAAAGGAAAAAGAAAGAGCATTTTTTATCCCTCTATAACCACTGTTATTTAATATTTCTTTGTTCAACTCATAGAATTGACATTGCAAACAAATTTGTACTTCATATAATTAAATAATAAACTAATTATCTACTATTAATACACTGTTGTTTGTTAAATTAGAGCAAAATTTATTCACTAGATATCATGTTCTAAAAGTGTATGACGCAATTTATCGATTTAAAAAGCCTATTAATTAACGAATACACCTTTAGAATTTAACTTTAATGTGTTTGTTCATAAAACAGTAACAATTAAATGGTCAGAAGAATTCATATAATATGCTCACGTTAATGAGATGATGACGTCACAACCTGAAGTTTCTAATAGGTCCAATCTGATTTTTTTCACAAAGCTTGCTCGATATTTACGAAAAAAAAAAACACAATGTGCAGGTAATACAATTTCAATTTTTCATAACTCGCGCAATTTAATTGAACAATCAGCACGTTCCGGTTCCCCAATGTTTTTATTTTGTCTCCAAAAAGCCTATAAAACGATTAGCTAACGTTAGGCATCAATTGTGTCGCCTTTTTCCGCATATCAGGAAATATAAATCAATTTTACGCCGCCGTAAAATGCGCCACTATTATATACGTGGATTTCGAAATTTATTACTCAATGCATAAATTCGCGTGCATAAACATTTCGTTCGATGTAGGTAAATTCGGCGTACTTAATTTCCATCGCGATAAAGAAAAAATTGTGGAAAAAATTAACGCCCACCGTTCGGCGATTGTGTATATTTTCATCGAGCTCATACAGACCGATTCCGGAGAATATTCCGCGAATTTATCGGCGGTTTAAAAACCGCTTAGCGAACCGATCGACGATCCGCCGATTCGCACGAGACGTGTCAAGGTCCCGGCGCGAAATAAAAGGTCGCGATTTGTCAATTAGCCCGTCGCCCATTATGGGAAACGAAAGAAAAAGCGGCCGAAATCACGGCCGGTACTGCACTGGGCTGATAACGATGGCAACTCGTGTGTGTCTGGCCGGCTTCCGGAAAGCTCGAGTATATAACGGCAGAAGCGAATAAAGAACGAAGCCCAGTCGAAGACGAGGAAATCGGTTTTTTTTTTATTGTCGCTATTGCGGGATCTTCGATTCTGAATATCTATTACAATTGGTAGTTTATTTTATGCACACCAATGATTGCAAATATCAAGGAATCCTTGCGAATTTTTTGAAACATACTGCAAATTGAACTATCTAGTACTTTAGTCTATAAATTGGAGTTAATCTAACTAAGAAACGAATGTAAATTGGGCGCAAAAGGGATAGATTTTAATCCTGTGGGTGAATTGGGTGCGGTTAGAATGAAAGGTCCTTTTAATCTGGTAAATTGGGCGCTGAATCCGCGGAAAATAATCACAAAAAAATTCGTTTGTTGATGAGAAATTAGAATTCCCCATGCACCGTAGGTACTCCACTCTTCTCGACTCTCTACTAATAGTAAATTCGCAATTACTAGATACTAAAATCTTGCCTATAAGTATCGATAGGTTAGAAACCATAAGTGTTTATAGCGGACGCTTTAGAGTTTAGAATCTCGACGAGGAACAGACCAAGAGGAAGAAGAGCCGGCACCTTACGTAACGAATTGGCGCGCGAGCCGGCCACGGTGCCGGGCACGCGTACCTCTCGGCCGAGATTCCTTCCTCCGAGGGCGCCCCCGGCCGGTTTTTCCTGCCAGACGGGGCGGCGTTGCCGCTGCCCGCTCCGCCGGAGAGCCGCTCGTTAAGGATCCCACGGACCGACGCGAAACTTTCGCCGCCGCTGCGGCGGCGATTCCGCAGCGGAATTTTAGACACGGCGGTTTATGGACGTATTCAGAGCAGCAGCGGTGGTTTCGCAATAGTAGCGAAAACGCGGCGTTTTATTTTCGAAACGGTGCTTGCATTGTTTTTTTCGCTGCCGCTGCGGAAATTGGTAGCTATGAAAATGGCAGTTGTCGAAAAATTAATCGAGTTTGTGAAACAGTATCCAATTATTTACGATTTAAGTCATGAAGACCTATTAAAAATTATTAAAATAAATATCCTACTATTATTATGCTCGCCTATAAATTGCTAATCAACATACTCGTAATAACGTAGTTATTTTCACCTAATTTCTTCCTCTTCAGCTAAACCAAGTAGCAGTAAAACTTCTTCTTCATACAAACTCGTTGTTAATAATTAATTACACTCACGCTCCAATTTGTCACTAAAAATCGCTAACCAATAATCGGAAAATTTCGCAGCAGTGTGAATAGTACCAATCCGCTGCCGCAACGCCGGCGGAATTTCCGCCGCGAAAGTTCCGCGGCGGAAAAGTTTCGCGTTGGTCTGCGGGATCCTTAACGCCGCTGATCGCGTTTTCTCGGAGGATACAAACAAACCACCTGGGGGGCGCGTTAGGCGCGCGGAAGGTTCGTTGCACCCCGCGGATTTTCGTCTATCGAAGGTCGCCTTCTCCGGCGGTTTCGCCGGGCCCTCGAGAGGAGGCTCGTTCCGCGAAATACGATGGGGATTCGGGGAAGTGGAACAATGCGTTTTGTATTAGAGAAATATGTCGTGTAATGGTGTTGTGGTTGGGTTTCGAGATGATCCTAAATTGGGTAAATTTGGAGTTTTCCAAATCTCCAAAAGCTCTTATTCTTCTACTCTCATACTCTAGGGTCTTCTCTTCGATCAATATGTTGTTTCCCAAAATTGGGGAAATTAATGATAAGAAATATTGGATTAATCATCTCCAAAAGCTCCTATTTTTATAAAGTATGAAGCTTTATAATCTTTTCTTCGACCAATATGTTGCTTCACTGATAATTCTCCACCGTTTTTCTCTCTTATTATGTTTTTTTCGAAATTAATCAGATAAACGAAAATTCGCCGTTTTCCACTTAGTTGCGATTTTTTTTTTCCTTTTATTTTCGTTGACTCCATTTGTTTTTGTGTGCAAGTGCTAACAAGGTCGTCGAACCAGGCCAGACAGTCAAAACAATAATATTACTACGAATGGGATATTTTATCGAAGCGGTAAAAGTTCGTGTCGCTTTCATAAAAAGGTTTTTCTCCAATTATTTTGGAATACGAAGATTTAATAACAAGCAACCATTATCAATCTACTTAACTAATCACACGAGATAACATCGTCGGAAAATCCATCCGAATGCCCGCCGCAAACCGGGAGAGACGGCAACGCGGAGCGCCTAGAGGAATCCTCTCTCTCTCGTTCTTCAATATTTACAAATAGTTAGCCGGGCGTCTAGACGGGCGAAGGCTGGTTTCGGACCTACGCAACAAATATCGCAGTGCGATGTGAGTGCGTAAAACCGCCTAGACCCCCGTCACTTGTTGAGGCCGGACGAGATGCGTTTCGCAGGTGCGTAGAGGCTCCGAATTCGGTTCGAACAGGAGGAAGAGAATCGGCCGCGAGAGGTGTTTGTGCGATTCCCAGTGAGTTGCCCATTTCGATTCGTTAATTTCAGACGAGGATTAATGATACTGATACCCCCCGTACATCTACAAATCTACAAATAATTCCGCCACGGCTGCATTCTTCGAGTACGAGTAGCACAGAGTGAGTATTCATACGGCCGGGTTTATTTATAATCGCCGGCTATAAAATAGCGAATATTAACCCGTGCATGGTACGTTTCGGGCCTTATCGCCGGTCGCTTAATAAATATTTTTCTGATAAACTTGTTTATTTTCATTATTCATTTTTATATTTTTAACCAAGTGCAATGCACCGCGAAATAACAATGCCCGGCGGGCGAAAACAACCGTCTATTTACCGCTCGCATTGTAAAGACGCAGATATTAATTTATGAATGGGATTCGATAAATCGAAAACTGAATTGTCGTTTTGCATATTGATACGTTTGTACGTGCAGCGACAATGACCCCGATCAAATTATACTACGCTATAAATCGATATATGAAGCAAAATAACGTTCTAATAAGGGCACTTTATTTACTATACCCAGAAAATTTATTAGTTGATTCACCCCGTATAAGCTTCAAATGGTCCTTTTAAATTCTACTAAAGAATTTATCAAATATTTTTGGTACTGTACAAACCTAACCCACTGTCCTTATAAGTATACTCGAAATTACATCATCGACCGGGATTCATTAACAAACTAACAATAACTAATTTTGACGCACCTAAATCGCTTCAATTCGAAAATTAGTTCCCATCATATTGATCTAAATGATCC